CCCATGTATTCCCTTCACTTCACCTCATTTATCACTTTTCTAACCTTCTTCCTAAAAGCACTTGGTTTACAGGAGAGAGTCCCTAAAACCTCAGCGGGTAGCTGGTTCCAGAGTTGGATGGTCCTATTTACAAAGGAATATTTCCCGATATCTGTTCTTTGCTTTCTGCTCCTAACTTTCCGAATATGATCGACCCTGCTCAGATAGTATGGCCTTTGCAATCTGTCACCTATAGCTTTCCATGCCCGTGTACGCTTTGAAGAGAGCACATATACGTGCTATCTTTCTACGCTGTGCCAGGGTTTCCCAGTTTGAATCTCTCCTATGATATGCAAATTTACATGCTTTCTTTTGCACCCGTTCTAACTCATTTATCTGTCCCTCCCTGTAAGTATCCCAGCACGCCACCCCATATTCCAGAATCGGACGCAGTAGTGATGTGTAGGCTAAACTTTTAGTGTTACTATTTCCCTTTTTGAGAACGCACATTGTGAAATGAAGTGCCTGACAGAAATTTTATATGCATTTCACATTGCCAGAAAGACAAAATATAGAAACACAACATAATCTCACTGTGGTGGACATGATCATAACCCAAGCTGCCCACTATTGTTACATAAATCCTGTTGACTATTTTTTGTGAATTCTAGAGTCGTTGCAAGCCTAGAAATTTCCAACGATCAGAAGTATGGGCAGATGAAGAAGAGGAACAGCTTAAAGAACTTTATGAACAGTTCAAGATTAGTAATGGTAAGTGTAAACACTTCTCTTTCTTAGTCTTTAAATGTTTGACTTTGCAGCATACAGAGAAAGCCTTCTCTGTCCTTCTGTAACATTCCGTAAGCACTCCTGCATGTGAATCCACTCAACCCTTACTTGTCTCTTCACATATGCCTTAGTCTCTACACTGTTATTTTTGTTACGTCTTAATAGTTGACTCTGTGAGTAGAATCTCATTGTTTTCGATTTGTAACATTTGTGTATCTTCGCCAGATTTTCTTGTAGTGTCTTAAGTAAAATTCTCCTCCTGTCACTAGGCATAGTCAGTCTTCTGTAAGAAACATTGCATTTAAACTTTTCATACCACATATAAACAGTTGATTTGCATACTACATTATACAATATTATTTTGTTAGTATCTCGCATTCTTGGCACATTAACAGATCCGCTCCGCTGCATCATTGATCGCCTCAAAATCTGTCGATCCAAACCGCAAATCACTGACAAACTACTGCAAATGGGTGTGATCCAAGACAGAAAAGAGTTGAGGAAGAAACAAGTTAAGAAATCAATTACTTCTTTCTCTGGTAAGTTCATATTTATTTCTAGGTAGTTCCTGACTAATGTGGTTTTTGAATAACGCAGTCTCGTGAATTGCCTTTCCTTTTACTAGACTTTGTTGTTATGCCCTCAGTTCACAAATTTCTGATTGCATTACCATGTACCAGCCTCCAGTGATGGTTTAGGACAGTGGTATTCAACCTGGGGTACGCGAAGACATCTTAGGGGGTATGTGAAATTTAAAAAAAAATATTATTTTATGATTAATCAGTAATGTAATTAATGTAATTTATTTTAGATGTACATTATTTACTATGTATAACTTGAATTATACAAATTATACTTTGGGGGTACAAAGTTGAAGAGAGATTATATCTGGGGGTACGCGAACAAAAAAGGTTGAATGCCACTGGTTTAGGACATGTAAGTTTTCAAAACAGCGAGAATTGCTGGTACACTGTTACTTTGCTGCGCTCTCCTCGACTCTCAGCAGTAACCTCCTACAGGGACAAGACCCCTTCTATACTCAAAATGACACTTCATATTCAACAGCTCAGAAATTTGCTATTAACATGGCAAAATAAGGGAATTTAACTGTGCCTCAAATCACCCTCTGTGGAATGCGTGCTTGCCACTGGATCCAGGGTTTGTGGGTGATAAAAATCCATAGCACAACTTCCTTTGGGGGGAAGTAAAGCCAGCGGTCCCATGTCATAGATTTACGGCATTTAAAAGCACCTTACAAGCATGAATGAGATGTTTGGTAAGCAAAATTCAGCTCCTATTTTTCACTCATGTCTTTGGTAGAGGCCTTGCGATGGGCTGATCACTCGTCCAAGGAGTCCCTAACGAATGTCTAAAATAGATCAGAAATCTCTGAAAGGAGGCCCCTGTGTTCCACGTAGGAGAGAACATAACGAACCTTTCCAGGCAGCTTACTCGTTCATGTGACGTTTGTCTGCTAAATGTGTTTATTGCAGGTATGGAACTGCATGATTGATGCCATTTTTACTTGTCTGATATCAACTGCTCTATGCTGTTGTTGATAAAAATTTGTTATTCAGAACCAGCAACAAAGAACTCTGAGACAGACTGCATTCATTTTGCTCTGAATCTTGGACATGAATGCCAACCAAATAAACATAGCAGTTCATAGCAAAGTAGAATTGACTGCAAGATTTTCTGTCACTCTAAATCTGCAGTATGTAGTTAAATTCAAACTAACAAAACATGTGAAAATAATCTAAAAAACAAAATAAATGTAGACCAAGCAAATACATAGACTGGTTATTATGAAACTTCATATGTAGGTAAATGTGATCATTCTCAATAATAAGATTTTTTATTCTTTGTTTCTAGCTTCAAGAATACAGTAAATAAACTGTATTTTGTAACATCGAGCACTTTGAGTCTTTTTAGATGCCAGTTTAATCTGTACGTGTTCGTAGACCCCAGTAATTTAAATGCCATACTTCAAAGGTTAACAATATCATGACATAGCAGGACAATGCAGATGCATTCAGCCAATAACATTCAGTTTTTATGGGACATATATGTCTCTTTAGGTCATTAATCACCTAATGCATGTATTACATTATGTACAGCAACCTTATCACTATATTTCAGTTATTATTAATAGCAAATTTAAAGTAAGTGGGCCCACTAGTGAATACAAAATCTCTCAGCCACACCTGGAATGAAGACAGACTGCATCCACCTTGCATTCGAAAATAATGTTCAATGTTCTAAATTTGTGCCAAAATTACTTTTAATTGCTTTATGCATGTTATTATTTTGCAATTAGAGGTCAATATTCATATGTTAATAGTAATTGACATAGTGATAATTCAGACATTCCATTAAATATTATGAGATCTTCTTCTTCTACTATGGCTCTCTGGTCCGCATTCGGTCCATGGTCTCCTCAATTCTCCTCTTCCATTCGGTCCTCTGTTAGGTCCGTTTGTCCAAGGCTTCGATTGAGGTTTCAAAACATCTTCCTTTTTACGGTGCAAGGTTGTTACCCTTGCGACCAACCCCCAACCTGGAGGACCAGGGACCTGTCTTAGTCTGAGCTCTCCCCCTCGACCAATCTGGCTAGGGAGGCCTACCAGTAGCTCTTGGGGTCACTGAGGTACTCGAGCCCCACCACCACGACAAGGTGCAGGTACCATTAAGTGGGGAAATATTATGAGATGTTTAATAGAAAATTTTATCATTTTTATGCCACAGTTCAGGAATCTGCTGCAAGTCATGAACCTGATTCAGACAACAGTGAAATGGAAAATGAAAATACTGATTTGGATGGAGGTGGTGCAAATAGAACATCTTCCAAGGTTATACATCTCCAACAGCGAGGAAACAGCAAGAAAAGAATGAAAAATGCAAGACCCAACTCACATTCATCTGCTGACCTGATCTGCTCCCTTAATGAAGTCATTACTGCAGGTAATTTCGCATAAAGTGCATGTAGATTGGAAGTTGCGAAAATTACAAAGTAAAGCTGTCCCAATATATGTCATGTAGGGACCTGGGGGTGTATAGCTCCTACGCATTCTTAACCTCGGCACTAGGCGGGGATGAGTGGTCAGCATCTCGTCCCGGCTGAGCTTTACCCCCTGGGTAGGACCCCGGTACCCATTGGGTGGGAGGCTGTGTCGACCCCAGAACCAGTCTGGATGCATAGGCTAGAGGAAAAATCCTCTGGCCCCATCAGAGATCGTATTGCGATCGTCGAGTCTATAGCCAGTCACTATATTGACTGAGCTATGCTAGCTCATCAGATTGAAAGATGCCTCAACACAAACAGTATATTTCTTTCTTTATAGACTTTTATTTTCACTACATGTCACTCTCAAGGTTTGGTGCAAATGCTTTCAGAATAATTTTTTTTATGATTTCATCCATTCTGTTTATCCCATGTTAATCCACTGTTAGCAATTAGATGCTTTGCTTGTGCCAGGCACTTGAGTTTTCTGCGGTGCCACTTTTTGTGTCTATGTTTTTGTCAGTGCGTAAGCTGTGGGATCCACAAGGCAGTTTCTCGAGAAAGTTCTGAGGTTAACGTTGTCATTTCCGTTGTTGGCTGCATTATTTTAGAATTTTTTTCAGTGCCACTACTTTTATAATCCAAATTATATGTATACATCTCACATTTTTCCTATGACATTTCCACTTTTAGTGAGTGTTTGGCTCTTTAGAAGATGAGGAATCTTTTGAGTTATGACAATAGACAATATTTTCAATTCATGGACATACATGAAAGCAGGGATTAGAGAATATTACTGCAATAGATATCTTAAATTTGAAGTCTAGTCACATTCACAATATTGATAACTTATCACAGAAAACGTTTATTTCAATTTAATTTAATTCAATAGCTTGCTTTTCTAAACATGTTAATCAAATTTTGGCTAGCTGAGTGACTGTTAGCTTCTCAAGAAGCACTCCATGTTAGTTTTCTAGTACAAATGTATCTGCCCATTAACCTCGGATTATGTTTTTAATAATTTTGTTTTCTATTCCTTTTTTGAAGCTACAGTAACAGAAGTGCCCTGAATAATAAATTGTGTAAGTTGCTGATAACAGAATTTACACATGATTTTTTATAAGGGAGTAATGTATAATGACCGCCACGGTGGTCTAGCGGTTAGAACGCTGGCCTTTTAATCCTGGGGTCCTGGGTTCGATTCCCTGTGGTGCCCGGATTTATAACTTGTGTTGGGCAAGGCCGTGGT